GACCTTTTTCTGACAATTTTCGGAGATGGACGGGGAGTTCAATAACCACAGCCTGATTAGGGTTATTCTCCCGGAGCTTTGATTCTTTCCTTGTGTTCCCAACCACCACTTCCTCAAGTTCATCAAGCAACGCATCCATGTCCGGTACCGTCTCCATTATGGCGGAGTCTTCAAAAGCTAATTGATGGTTCATTGGGCAAAAATGCGATCATTTGAACCAAAATAAAGTTGAATGCGCAACATAAATAAGCAATTTAAGCAGCGAATTCACGCGGAAGAAATTGGAAAGGCAAAAACAGATGTTATTCACGAGACGGGCGTGAATTAGTCATCTCATCATGATAGGATTCATAAAAACAATCATAGAGAATATCAGTCACGTATGAAGCATCCGATTTACATAATTTCCCCGCACAAATGTACACCGATACAACCAGTGAAGATCTGGATGGGCACTACGAACTGCTATGCTTACTCATATATTTCTCAGGAATTCAGAACACAAAAGATAAGTCACAAATCAGAAGATAAATTATGAATCGAAACTGTTTATTGGGATAGTTCGAAATAATAAAAAAGGGTATTTCATTGGCTATTGTATAGTGTTCCTCGCAGTTTTTCATATAGGAAGACACCTGAGGAACTTGCGAAGATGCTTCTCCATCATCGAAGACTTACATATTGAAATGCAATGAGTGGTTTCAAAGCTCCTCCTCATTACTGGCACAGGACATTATTTCAACATGAATTGTCCGATTAACAGATTCAAGGCAAGCAACAAAAATATTACTACACACACCCTATATTGACAAAAAATGCGATTGACAAACAAATGCGATTTCATAACTATAAATAGCTCATATTGCAGAATACTCGTTGACGAACTCTCGCAGTATATTCAGAGCACCAGACCACAAAAGGAGAACTCGCTTACTGAAGAAGGGACGATAACGCAGTGCTGCTTGCCACAAAAGGATCGCACCATGACTCGAAGACAGGCAATCGCACTCCAATGCAATGTGACACTGTCCCCTCGGAATGGTAGCAGTTTTTGATCTTATTCCAGAGCACAGACGAAGAATGTCCCGACCAAGGGTCCGTTACCGAATAACTGGAAAAGAAACCTCAAAACGAGTTCAGCTACCACGAAGCTGACGTCAAGAACCATTGCGACATTACGATAGCCTTCATTAGTACGCAATCGCACTGACGGCGCAGGGTGATTATACGTAACATTGCAGAGTTCTAGTGCAGACATAGCCAAGTACCGTAATATGGTTAAGCTGACGGTGCTTAGCTATAGTCGTTTCTCAGGACCAGTTTCTTCAGCTTTTCGTTGATAGATGTGTTCACTTTTTTTTTACCGAAAAGTCCGGAGAGGAGTAGGGCGAGATTCTCACTGTTTCTTTCCCAGCACGTAATGGTGTCAAACTGCTGTCTGGATGTAAGAATGAGACCGATTTAATATCCAACGTTGGGAAAAAGTCACATGATTAGAGAATCCGCAGAAGGACTTAATCCATGTTGAATAATGGTGGCCAAGTCGAAATTTAATATCTTATCGAACCAGTCAACCAGTATCTTATCAACAGTATACATTGCCCATGATGAATCAGTCGCTCTATATGTAGAATCTGTTTCGTGCATTCTCTTACTCATCAGTTCTTCGATTTTCAGTTGTACGAAATCAAACCGGTCAATGCATATCTTATCTTTTTTACCATTTCTCTAAAGCTTTGATTCCCGAGATCAGTACCTGTGTACTCCTTTACACAAAATCCCCGGCTCTACTTGTTGTTACGTATCTAAGGAATTGTTCACGGTGAGCACCTGGGCAATTCTGCGCATTCACGAAGTGAGTTAGATACGTACTGATCGAGAGAATCTGCGATCGCCTCCGCGATTCACAGGCTGTCCTGTTTCGCCGACTTTTCTGATTGACCCAGCCCTTTTTGATATTGCGCCAAATTCTCCGTTGTGTTGCCCGCACGATTGTCCTTGTCAATAAGTTTCAAGACATTTCCGTAGATGCAGTTCTTTCGCCCATCGGCCGGGGTGGAGGATATGGACCCTGTTTCCGCCGCGGATTCTCAGAATTATCTTATTTTCCGATTCTCCTGTGCGACAGCAGCTGTGAGTAACAAGCTCGGACACTAATGTATTATAATTGGGAAGGGGGGGGGGACAAGGGACCACTTGGCCGCACCTCTGTACCCCTTCCCCAGAAGGGCTGAGAAGCGCAGCAAAGGTAGTTTACCGTGAGGCTGAGCCTTTAACGAGAAAGGCATGCGGAGATGTTGGCGAGTGCTTCCCCCCCTTCAACCACGTTAGCGCCTAACTCCGGTAAAATTAATAGTGTTCCTAGTCAATTCTTCACGATTCTTCGGGCGTGATTAAGCATTAGCTGTTAAGAGTCACCATAACAGTTTTCGTGAATTGGACTGGAAATGTGTCGCTTAAGTAAAAAGGACAAACATTCAGGCTTTTATTAACTCGTATTCAAGGTGATCGCTGTATTCTTGCTAGAATCCGCTATCATGAACAGTAAACACGAAGAGCGCCCGGTGAGACATCGGTCATTCCCGTATCCTACATTCAGCTTTTTTAAATCCCAACCTTTCCCTCAGTTGATTTTATAAGTTCAGAATAGTGTTTCTTTTTAGGAGTCAAACGTCTGATGAAGGAAGCGCTAGAATTGCGGGAGCCTACGGAAATGTACTTCGCTCAACCTCTTGAGGTAAGGTGATGCTGTTCTTTCTGTGGCGATTGAGCATTTTCTATCACTTGGACATGAAAATCAGTTCCGTGTTTCAACGGCACAGTTGCTACCATTATCGTCATCATTCCAGACAAGGCTATGCTGTATCATTGTGTTTCAGGATAATCTTTTTGAATGGCACTTCACAGTGCGAGGACCACTGGAATCGGACTTTGATGGAGGAATTTACCATGGTCGAATTCTGCTCCCGCCTGAATATCCAATGAAACCACCGAATGTGGTTATTCTGACGGTAAAGTTTACTGCGATATTCTCCGCTTTAGAGTGTTGCCCGGTTTGGCGGAGCTCTGGTCATTTCCCCGCATATTTTGTCGCATTTAGCCCAATGGACGATTTGAACTGAACAAGAAAATCTGTCTTTCTATTTCTGGGTATCATCCAGAAACGTGGCTTCCCTCATGGTCAAGTTAGTAATTTTTACGGTTTATCGTTTTGTTTTGCGCAATTTTATCGTAGTGGAAACTTTTAGTACGGACTGCTCTACTCGCTTTGATTGGATTCATGCCAACAGCAGGAGCCGGTGCTCTCGGTAGCCTTGACTATCCTGTAGCTGAAAGAAGAAAGTTGGCGAAGAAGTGAGGTTACGGTTGTGTGCCTGACAACGAGATCCAGTCCTTAATTTCTTGAAATTCAGAAGTCTTGAGTGGAAGTGCAAGGAATGTGGTGCATGCATGAAAACTGCCCTAAAGTCTCTTACGGACGATGCAAAAAAGAGTAACGAAGAAGCCAAGAAGCTCGCAGCACAGCTCACTTTCAAGGTAATTAAATGTTCAAGAGGTACTAGGTTGACATGAAAGTTCGTTCACAAAAAATGTGAAACATAAAAAATGTGTCGGCATGCGTGTATACTTTGCGTCAGCGTTTTAAGCGACTGGGAAGGTATAGATCCCGATCTAGCGTTCCAACGCTCGCCAGGGTTCTAAGTATGCAGAGTAATTCGAGCTATTCGCGAGCAGTCGCTGAAACGCTACCGTACGCTCAAAACGCTGACGCAATGTATAAATGCAGCCTTAACATTTCTGCATATCATGCATTTGTGTATAATGTCATATTTATGTATATTTGAAATATCACAAGTCCTTTATTCTAGCTAGTTTTTCCACTTCGACTGTGTGTGTGTCTATTTTCTTTTCTTTTAATCCTATTTCTTTCAACTCATGAATGGTATAATAGTCCAACTTATCTTTTTGAAGACAGTCCCGGCGCTCGAGTAACTCGTACTTCCTCGTACAAGTAGTCTGACCCTCAGTCTCTGAGATTTTTCAGCTAGGCTCCACAGTAAGTGAGATGGCGTTGTGGCCCTCACAAGTGACATTTCTGACACCTCCCTAGTTGTCCCGCCCACCAAAGCTTGAATGCTATTTTCTGTCACAATTCAGTTTTTACACCGTGTTTTTGTTATTGGTTCTGCTAGTAGTTGATGGCGCAGACAAACTCTTATTGAGGTAGAGGTGGAAAGTTATTGTTTAACTGGCATAAAATGACCAGGTCCGGAGAACTCGTCCGAAGAAACTGCATGGTCTTTAGTGTTCTCCAATGTGTTTTTTTTTCGCTTCTTTCTTCTCTGGAGAGTTATTCAGCGACCATAGGTTTGCAATTCAGCGCTACCGCCCACGAATGAATATTCTTTTTCCAGAATGAGGAAGAGAAGAAACAGGCGATTGCAGAAGCAGAAAATGCAGCTGCCGATTCAAGAGCTCCAAGTAGCTGCGCGGATGATGTCAGCACAGCACAGTCGCCTCAGGAAACAACTGATGAACCCGCGGCTGATGTAGTACCGCCCCCCGCTGCTCCTCCTCAAAGTGATCACCAATCTCAGGAACATATTACGGTATCTGGATACAATCAAACCCTTTTTTTCCTAAGATTTCATTGCATCTTTCAGGTGAATCGTCCAACGCCTACTTTCCGCCAAGACGGGGACGGATATGTTTCACTCTTCATAACAGTGCCTATTTGTGTGGTTTTCTTATCAATGTTTAGCCTTCTTCTTGCAAGACGGTTTCTTTTGTAATAGAGTCATGCAGATATTTCACAGTGGTTGGGCTGTTTCTATGAAAAAAGCAACTCTGTTACATCTTCTCCCTTCTATTCGGTTGCGCAGACGTATGCTTGCCAGTTTCGATCAGTCATCCATTTCACCACTGTTTCCGGAATAATGATGGGTATTAGTTTAGCTAGTTGTTGCGTATATATTCGATGAAATGATGATCCTATCGAGTTTTGATCGATTAAAAACAAAAATGATCGATTATTCTATTCAATACATTTATAAATGTTAAATAAGAGAGATCAATACTGCATACTTGTAAATAACCACTACGCTCAGTAGAATACTCACCAGGGAAGGATGGTAGGTTGAATGTGGCCGTTTGAACTTATACTGACTGATAAATGGTTATTACGGTCCGTCTTCCATATATACTGAGGACCTCTCTGATGGCACATCATTATCCGGGGACCGGGTATTTTATTCGAGTCTGGACACCCCCCCCCCTAAGAGGTATCTTCATATAAACCACCCCTAGTTCCCTTTTCTGATATGATCGAGCATCGAGCTGTCGAGCGGGGGGTAGGGAGGAGAGGAAGGAACAAGAGAAATCGTCCACGAAACAAAAATCAAATCAGCTACCACAAAAAGTTTTCTCGGAATAGGTATGACCCCGTCCCCCAGCGACCAAATACAACCTGCACTCCTGTTGGGAAATCCCCAACGATGGTGTGCCCTGTCTCTGATTAAGGTCACGGGGCCGCAACCATTCTTATGGGAAGGGAGGCACACAAGCACAATACGAATTTTGAGTGTAATATGTATTTTGAGCGCTTTGAATGTGGCAGAAAAGCCCAGCGGCGACTGGTTGGCCTCGTCTCTATTTCCATTTCAGAGCAGTTTTGCGTAGAATGAATCACTTCAAGTGTAAGTATGCTACCACTGAAAGAGTCCGTAATCTTGTTCAGAGAGGTCTGCATTAATCATGGGAGGGACTAGTAATGACCATCCAAAAACACGCAAGATGATATACATCTCATTTCGAAAAGTCAATTCCACCTCCCTTTCCTTGTCAGTACCCTTGAAACAAAACAACGATAACAAGTGAATCACATCCTTTTCATACTACTTTTTCTTTTTCTTCTTGGGAGGCTCTTCCTCGGCTTTTGGTGGCTCGAGCTTATACCCGTGCATTTCACACCAACCAAGAGGAAATATG